AAAAAAAAGTAAGTTGAAACTAAGGTGGACACAGACCTGGTTCCCCTTCAGGAGTTTTCAGAATGCCATTCTTATAGGGATTGGACCTTCCTCTTTTGTGTATTTCGACGCCATACTCTCCTTCAAGCACTTCCGCCGCAGTGCTTGACAATGGTAGTCCTGTTGGAGATACATCAACAACGACCCCATCGTACTCATCTCGGTAAAGGACTCGTCCCACCGGCTCTTTGGATATGACGACTTTCTCCATAAATAACCTGGCCTCATCTGAAAATTACCAAATCAGCAATCGAACACTATACATGAGGACGCAAGAATGTTTTTCTGTCAATAAAAAAATCAGTTCAAATTCTGCAATCACTAAAAAGAATCCCACCTGCCTCCTTCCTCGATTGATCAGTTCTGACCTGGCGTTGCAATACAGCCGACACTGCAAAACATCAGCAGTGTCTGATGATTAAGCGTAGACATTTAACGCTATTTATGATACAAAAAAAGTGCTGCCTAAGGAGCCAAATCAAGTGGAGTTGAGGAATACAACTGATACCGTCACTACAACGCCTTGGGAAGTTAGCAGACTTTCGCTTTCTGTCCTTCGAATTCGTCGAGGATCGTTTTAAAATACCACAAGGAGTTCGTCCGGTGAGATCTACGGTCAAATCGTGGTTCGAATTCCGCACTAAACAATATTTCTTACTTTGAGGCAAATATAAAAAGGCAACAAACACACGACACATATATGATTGATGGAGAAACCTGAAGGACGCAGAGGCTCTAAATTAGATATTATAACAACCAATTTCTAATCCGAATGGAAGGAACTATAAACTATGCATTCGAACATTAAAGAGAATGTTTACTCACAACCTAGTCCTTTCCTCAATACCGATGAAACCTTCCTTTGAAGGCTCGACGAACTGAGTGACGATCTACGAAGAGCCCCACTGCCTCCTGGGGTTATCCCCTCTTCAGCAGCTGCTGGAGTACCTGTGGAAACAGCAAATACTTGGCTTATAAAAGAAAGAAACGAATGTTACTCCGGCTTGAGCTTTTCGCGAGAATAGTGAGTCAAATATGGAATTATTAGAGAAACAATATCTTATTCAGCTCACACACCTAAAGTGCTGGTGGCAAGAGGAGTGGTGGTAACATCACCTCGTTTCTTTGAACCAAATATTCTCGATTTGGAGCGAAGCCATATAAGACTCTTAAAAGTAATTATTAAGAAAATATCAAAAGTAGATGAAGTAAGAGACACCCACACTTCTCCTACTAGATCCTTCAGCACCTTGTAAAGGAGTTCTCGTTTCCTCGCCACCCTCTTCGCACGTATCAAGAGGTGCGACCTGAGCACCACTACTTGAGGTCAATCATGTGAAAAGGATGCCAAAAAATCTGAACCTCTTCTTCAGGCAGCTCAGCCATACTGGAGCTTAGAAGCAACTTCTCACGAAAACGCATAGAGCGGGTACGATCAAAACGGTGTGGACTGGCGAGACTATCCGAGGCAGAGGAAAGTGTCCGCCGTATAGCACTAAACCACTCAATCACTCACAATCGTAAAATAGGCAAAAATAAAAGAAATTGAAGGACATTTATTGGGAACTGAGTTATATAAAAATAAAAATCGAAGCTCACCAACCAATAAAAAATCACCTGTTACAGAGTCCACGAATAAGATCAGATTCCGGGGGCATGCTTCTCGCACTTCCACGGTGAGAGTCCCCTCTTTTGAAGTCCCGTGCAGGAGTGCAAAATGAGGCCGCACTTTCGGAGGTGGCCCCATTGTCTTGCGATGAACATGACTCAGTTAGGAACTAAAGATAACATTCTCAGAACGAAAATCGGTGAAAAACGGCGAATGTTGGCATTCAAGATGAGCACGGAACATCTGGGTTGATCAGAACCAGCGCAAAAATTTGGGTCGAAAAGTGGAAAATGCTGTTATAGCTATTAATTTACTTCAAAAAACTCCGTTGCTGTTTTAGCTAATGCATAAAACGAGACGGATCTCACTAACAAAAGAAGAAACTATCACGACTTATTATCACTGTCAGAGCTCAAACTCACTGATAGCCCCTCATGACTGCTCTGACTGTCATGACTTGTTGTTGAAACATTTTCCACTAATTTCATTAGTTCCTTATTGCGTTGAATAGAATGAGGAAGAACACAACTATCACCAGACAGTATGCTCTGAAATTAGTCTATTTCGCACGATTATGAACACAATCACGTGTGTAGTTGATCTAACTTTACGGCTTAAAATAAGGGATCAACGTCTACCGAATTTTCGCTCCGTATGGTTTGTTCTTCTGGCATAGGATCCATCACGTTATTTGTTAATGGCTCCTTGAAAGTTGGCATCTTGCTAGTACTGGCCGATACCGACGTAACATTGGAATCACGACTGTTGCGATCCTTGATTAGAGAAAGTGGTGCTCGTTCAGCTGATAAATTGAGTACAAAACTAGCTAGATCTAATTGAAGACTGATAAACCTTGAGTGCCGAAGAACTACGCATCTTCTTAAGCAGCCCTTTTCCTAAGCCGATGATACTCTTTCGTCTTTCCTTTTCCACAGTAATTTTGTTATCAGCTGAAGCCTAAAGATGAAACTTTGCGAATTACAAGCATATGGTCCGAAAAAGTAAAAAGTCTTTAACTAAAAATGAATTAGGAAAGAAGGAACCACTACCTCTTCTGCATACCATGGCCGATCCTTCTTCGAAGGAAGCGTCGATGTAAAGTCGATCTAAACCAAATCCATTTCAGATCGTGTAAGCAATAATGTTAAGGATTTGAGAAAAATATAGAAAAAAGTACAGCACATTCACATCGGATTTCCTTTTCTTCTGTGACTTCTGTTCTGACGACTTCATTGTCACTTCCTAATTATAGAGAGTGTTTGTCGTCGCTATCTATGCAAATTGAGCGGTTAACAATCTGGAAACTTAGAGGAAATTATTCTCCCGTGTCACTTTTCCAACCGAAAATCAGGAAAAAGTGGTTGGTTTTGCAGTGATAAAAAGCAAAGGCTAAGAAAGGGATCTGACGTTTCATTTGCAGCAGTACTGCTGCAAGTGGGTGGCGGAAACCTTGGGAACCGGTCCAATGTTCGTATTCAAGTGAGAATTCTAGGATATCAATTGGTAGCAAAATAAACAAGTCACAAAACTCTGTTCGAGATGTGGATTGAGCAAGAACGAAACCAAAAGAAAAATTTCCTATTCAAAAATTTCAAATTACTGTTTTTTCCCTCCGATCAGGAATTGAAATTAGAGCATGTAATACGATTAGGGCAGATCCGGAACGCTACTCCAATAACGAGATAAGACGTTGAAAAGTAAAAGGCAGACTTTTCTATGAATTAGGTATCTCATATTGTTCATTCTCATGTAAATATTTGTACATGTTTATACCCTTTGGTGGTGGGGGTGAAAAGAAGGAGGCTAGGGTAATGAAGCGGTTGAAAGTAATGAAATTCCCAGAAATGAGTGCAAAGGATTGGGACAAAGCTACAGTCACTTTTAAAAACATGGTTGTAACAACAAAAAATGCACTTGGTTGGTTCATTGGTGATATTGGTAGTAGATAACTACATGAATGATGACTCCTTCGTTTCCTCTAAGGTCACCCACTCACAAACAAAGGGCCGGTCTATCGATTACCATATTGCAGATGCCATAGGATTATGTAAAATATGAGGACAACGCGTGGGAATAAGAGACTCCATAGTACTCCGTTGATTACTCCACTGTTGTATACGGTATAAACAGGTACCCACCAGAACTAGTTGGAACTCGGCGATATACTTTTATTTCCTTCATATCTATGACACTTGAATCAAGAATAGAGGATTTTGCTTTGCAATGACGACCCTTTACAATCAATTCTAAGCTCCTTTCCCCGAAAAAATCTGGAAGCACAAAAAGCATTTTGAAACAGTTGTAAAAGTGGGTACTCTGAAAATTACTGCCTTAAAAAATTGGAATGATTTAGTCGAGTCTTGACATCATTTAAGGCAACATCTGAACATACCATTTTTGGAAGGGCGAAAACTTTATTTCAAGCTGTTAAAATCTGATTAAGACACAAACATCATTTTTCACCTATATTAATAAATCCGTTCCCAGCTCCGATCTCAGAATCTTCAGGCGAATAAAATGAGAAGACGTTCATCTAGTTTTGTATCGAAACATCGAACATATTTGTTAAGTTCTGAGTAGAACCGCAGTAGATACAACAGCGCGTCAATCTCTGAACTTTATATAACCAAATCCAGATCAGAGTATTACGTAGATGTTAATAGGATGTGAGAAAGAGGACGAATTTCTTGAGCGAAATATACGTAGGATACAAAAATTTGCATCCCGAGCATTCATTTGTGAGTTTTATGTTTGAAAAGGCTTTGGTCCATTTTCTTTTTCGAATTCTCTAGTTTCTTATAAAACATTGATCGGCATAAGTGGGATTTAAAGATCATTTCTGGATGGCCGATGTAACGTCAGGCGTTATACCACCAGACCAGGCTAAGCCATATAGAACTTTTGTATTAAACCAGTCCGATCGGTGAGTCGTCGTGGTGTTGTGTCTCCATCTCTCCGTATTGTCTGGCCATATGTGAGGATCAATCCCGAGACCCTTTACTCCTGTCTCATTCGGATTCCGGTTATGTTCATCCGGCAGTAGAATTTTTAGGAATTAATGAATTAATCAATGCATCCGTGCAATATTTAAGGCAATTCAGTAGTGGATTTATTTCCAGTACCAGTAGAAATATGAAGGAAATCAGGAAACTTACCCTGCTGTGTATTAGTCTCCAGAATTACAATAGTATTCTTTTGTACAGAAGGGAGTCTCCCATTCATAATGAGATGTCAATTGTATGCTTTTCTGGTACTTTTCTGGCACGCCCAGCAAGCCTTAGCACTTGGCACAACACTTAGAGCGCTAGTATTAACGAGAATATGGTAATGAAGCCCCTCTTCTTCATCATAATCAGAGAAGGTAAGTAAACGCAAAGACAGGTCACTTTATGATAGAAATTCGAGGATGCCTTCGCGAAATAATGAAAAAACATCGAAATTTCGACCGAGTTACGTGTATCATGTACTGCTTGAGGAAGCACATATCTAATAGAAAATTCGAAGAGCTTCGACCAGCAGTGACCTAAACCAGTGTAGTGCCCTAGTTACAAAAGATGGTAAGGCCGTGCCGAGCTTGAACTGAGTTGAGCCTCGCGAGGTGGAAATTTATTAGAAGTCACATGCATACATTGGAACATATTCACTTATACCTCGTGCCTTCATAGGTACCCACCCAGTAGTTACTATTTACAATTTTCACATACTCCTGAATATCTGGTAACTCAACAGTGAAGAGGGAAGAAAGTCGGAAATTTATCAAATAACATTGATAGTCACAAGAATACATCAGAATCCGAATGGATTCATAGGTAGCGAAGAAGCACTCCTAGTCCTTGTCGTCGCCTGAAATCCTTCTTATTCACTCAGTAGCGGAACTTTTAAATTGAACCAGTTAAGCAAAGTAGACTACTCACCTAGTAATGAACCTGTAGATGAGATTAGCAATTAGAGGCCAGAATATAACAAAGAACATAACCGGCATTAATGGTATAAATCGTGCCATAGTATAGAGCGGTCGCCGTCGAGCCTGAAAAAATGAACCAGATTCAGTTAGTTGCTCACCATAAAACAATATAAATATGTATGCTATTCAAGACAGGCTTCCTTCACTGGATTACCCATCAGTGTGACAGGGTAACAGCAAAAAAGGCTTGAGAACGGATTCCGTATCATCTGTGTCTCTCTAGTGCAGGAGACAGTAAAAATGGTCCGTGGAGTTCCTCACCAAAATGAACCTGTGACCAAAGAGTAGCTTCAGGGACATTTTTGGGTTGAAAAACAACTCAGGGCGTTAAAAAGGCACCGAAACAGGGTCGGCAAACGTGCACCCAAAAGTGGACGTGTTATGACGGGCTTAAGGGTGCACCCTGAAGTGTCAGGACACAGAGTAATAGAACGTTTATGTGGGAGACACCCAGTCCGTTACAGTTGAAAATCTCGTACTACGCCCTTTCTCGTATAGTATTCAAATGCGCGAATTTCAGCGCCTCCTTACCATTTTGCCCTACTTTGCACCATATCATTTCACCTGAGCTAGGCATCTCAAAAAAATTGTGAGATGTGCCTTAAACGGGATAAAATTCAACCGATAGCATGGGAGCCATCATATTCCTATACTCTTAGGCTATGTCTATCGTCAATGGAAACCGAATTGAATCCTTCCTATCAAAAGCCTCACCTTTATTAGTTTAGCCAGTAACTGGGCGATAATCTTCAGCTGTAAAGCATTTGTGGACTCGATTTCATAGAGTTGACGACTCAACATTTGCATTTGTTGATTGATTTGCATCAAAACCGGATAATGTGAAACTTCTTGAAACTGAAATTGAGTTTACACTCACTGCATTGGCGTGGTAGATACAGTAAGTACGGTGATTGGCTTACAGTGTAGTTGATCATCCGCCATTCGTCGGGTGAATCTGAATGATCGCTGCCACTTTTCTGCCCATTGCTACTGTTTTGACCACCACGGCTTGACCGATCTTTTCTTCCAATGTTGGAGCGTCGACTTCGTAATGTACTTGACTGGCCTAAATGAAACAGTTCCTTGGGGCAGCCCACTCACAAGCTAAAACATTGTTGTAGATGGGCCAACAGTACGTAATCGCGGAGACTAAGGAAGCTGAAAGCCTTTCTTTCACTGAGAAACAGAAGCCATACCAAGATACAACAAAAACGGATGAAGCATAAAGTCTTTTGGCACATTCCATTTCTTTTCAGGACGTCCTCCCACAGGATTCCTCCTTACAATCGTAACGGTGCTTCGAATGGCTTATTCAATGTTTTGCGGGGGCCAGACAATTTTTACGGTAGTGCTTTCATCCTGCCAAACGACTCTGGTACCCATTACTCGATCTTGTGTGGAGAACGACCGAGTGTTGAGCGGGTACTGACCAACAATTCCATCCTCAACCATGCCCTATAGTTGGCATTATCCCTTCCATCCTAGGGAAGGTGAAACGATATACTTGTAAAGTACAGTATCTAACTCGTTCCCGATCAGAATGGTAACTTGCAAAACTCACCTTCAGGTATTTTTTCTATGCTGCTGCTGCTACTCGAGCGTTTGGTACGTTTTGTGGTTGATGATGGAGATCGAAGCATGGGAGGGGGAACGATGGCTTGTGGGCGAGGTCTACAAATACATTTGTACTACTATTTTGTACTATTACATGCATTTCAATCTGACAATCTAGAGAATGGAATTCGAAAGAAAAAGTTTTCTGTCAAATGGACACCACACAGATAATCATCATATCACTTTGAAGTCTTGCTAAACTCTGTAGTGTTTTCTCGCACACAAACTGGATCCCGTGCCCCAAAAATTGACACCACACTGTAGCGTGATGAGCAAAGGGGAAGGATCATGTTCACCTTCCTAATGAGAACAGTGAATCAGTTTTCTAATGGTAAATAGTCATTGAAGATGCAAGTGCCAGTTTTCATATAACACTGCCTAAAAAGTGAAGGGAACCTGTAGAGAAATTGAAAGAATCTGGCAAGTAAACCGTATTTGGGTTCTACTGAGTTGTACTTCTTGCAGCTATCCTCTGGAGTGACCTCCGGGGATGCAACGACGCTGAGCTGAAGCAGAGTACATCGGGAGCTGAGCAAGTCGTCAGCCATCAATCGTGGGTGGTATGGGTCTACGAGAACGGGAAAGGCTCGAGTCAACTTTGGCCCCTTCTTACACCAACGTCAAAAGAGCAAAACAATGTTCAACGTATGAACGTCGAATTGTTTTCAGGATGGTTTTCATTACTCCAGACAGACGACGTAGTACGTAGCGAGGGGTCAGGAATGTAACATTAGCCTCTGATTCAAAATTCCCATGTACAGAGTGGCAATGGCGTAGCAGCAGCACAGGATACAGAAGCCATTGTGCTGAATCGTCATACCGTTTGAGAAGTCTGCATTTTTCATATACTTTCGAATACTTTCGTATACTCGTCACATACTCAGAATTCACACAGTTGAGTGATGGTACCCCTGCATGGCGAGTTCGCTGGGTAAATAGGTAAAAATAACAATGGCATTGAAAAAATATTCACCTTTCTCGAGTCAGATGCTCTGCAGCTACTTCGCACAATCGCTTCAATTCCGTTTCGCTCTCATCAAGAGCATCCTCATACGCTGAAAGTGCTTCCAAGTCGAGATCACCAATTACCGTGCCTAAATTCCTCGAAGTCGACGCCATTCTGCAAAGGTTACTAGGACGTGATTGCAGTAGTAAATTACTTCGAAAAGATGACAATACAGAAAACCGAAATCCCGAAAATTTCGAATCTGCGAAGTGACACCTCGTAGTATAATAGATAATCAAGGATCGCACTATCTCAGTAGTCAGTGACAAAATATAGAAAGAGAAGTTTAATTGCTCGAGTAAATGCTTCAGAGTACGCGTGACGGCGAAGAAATATGTCTCCGGTGCCGTAGAGACAATGATTATAATGATTTCGGACTTTACGCCTTTTAAAAATACCTTGATCACCTCTTTACCTACTTGTCTACCTCGAAGATTCCAATAAGCGCACAAATTTTCTATAAGACGAAGTTAGAGTTCTCTTCCGAAATATTCAAGACCAGCTTTCAATTTAAAGTTCGGAGTTGAAGCGGAATGACATGCCAAGTTACTGAGGCAGTTTATCGTTGTATATTGTTTGTTGAATTGTGTATTATTAGTTCATTTTATTACACAGGAATACCCCTTCACCTTTTTCGCCATTCTTTAACATCCTAGTTAACGTTTTCGCCACAGAACTTTTTAACTGTAGTCCATCTAAAATCTTTAGTTCACAAATGGTGCAGCCTGTTAAGGGAAACAAAAGACTGTCAGGCAAAGTGATAACATGAAGAATACCATCAGAAAAGTCCCTGTATACCCTGTTAAGCTTTCGTGAGTTGTTTTGTTCGCTTTCTTTGGACGTGTCTTATGTGACACAGGCTGCTTAGCTTATTCTTGAGATAAGGGCAGAAATAGCAAGCAGCATAGCACACTGAACGAGTTTTGTCAGAGAGTGTCACATTGCCTATGGCTTGGATTCAGGTAGTCCTTCCCAATACTGGCAAACCCTTTATTTGGAGTGCCTTGGTAAAGCNCAGACACTGGGTGATTGGGGTACTATATTGAGCTATGGCATTCTGAGCATCCTATTCGTTCTGATTGTGAGACGAATAGGTGGAACTCTGCAATTCATTTAGTTTCACGTGCATGATTTTTTTCGAACTAGCCATTGGTTTTCTTCCATTCAACCCTCTCCGAAGTTCACGCACGCACGAATTGAATGAAGACGGTAGATTTCTGATAAGACAGTCATAAAAGGGTGGTTACGAATTCGCTGTGAACGGAGGAGATGGAGAGTTCGATAGGATATGAAACTCAACATTTAGTCCAGAGATAATACACATTGTTTTCGTTAGCGGTACTCCACTCCCAATTGGGGCTGGTCCACTCCCGGTTGGGGCTTGGACAGGAGGAGGCTTAAAAATGAGCAACTATGGCTTTCGGACATTGTAGATACTAGATATATAGTTAAGATACTGGTTATAGATACACTGTAGGTGAATAAAGACCGGGTTAATAAATTAAGGCCAGGTACCAATTGTCCGACCCAGGAGGGATGGAAGGCTTGGTTGGCCCGCTAAAGCAAACCAAGCCTTCCATCCCTTCTGGATCGGTTAATCGCTACCAGACTCATCTGGGAGGATAAAAGCACTGACTTGTCCATCGGCTGGCCACCACAAGTCATTGTATAGGACACATAGGCATTCATTACGCCACTACGATTCTGAATGGAAGTCGAATACGTGGGTCATCCCTCAGACGGGATTGATTAACGCCCCAATACTTTATCCTTTATACTTTGAAGGAAATGATCTTTCTAATATATTCAGAATAGAATAGGCATCGAAATGAGTGGTGATGAATGATTCAGTGAGAAACTAGAGTAGAGAACATAAAATGGAGAACTGAAGGGTGACTAAGGACTAGTAAGATAAAACGGAACAACACAGTAATGATTACGAGTAATCGAACTCTGTACTGTAGTCTAGCAGTAGGTTGAGATCAACGACGGACAGTTTTTAGTGCGATAACAAAAGCAAAGTGATAGAGACAAGTTTTTCACGCGAACAATTCTTGAAAATAACTTCTTAACGATATAATACTGTAATACTTACATTGTACAAAGCTCTCGATAGAAAACGACAACCTATAAAAACGACAAAAGAATGACCTTTACGACTGTGGACATACCAGACATGATTAATCAATAAGCACAGCTTGTCATCGGCTAAGGATTAATAGCGGTCTGACATCTCTTGTGAGAGTGAGCGAAGGGTACAGGGTACAGTCTGGCGTTGGGAGCGAAGTGGGCAGGTGTACGTGTAGAAAAAAAAGCAGGCAATTGAGGATTCCATAAATAAGACGATTCCCAAGTTGATCAGCTGGGGGCCCTCATGTGAAGAGTAAAGTAGAAGAATAAGCCATTAGGCATGGATCGATTGACTCCCATTCACTCAACTTCCATCCAGTGATGGTACTGGTAATACAAATAGACACTCTGAGGCAATTATGGACACCAGAGGTCTATGAGACAGAAGCAAATAAGTTATTTTAACCATGGAGCGTCAGTTGGTGTGGGGCGCTGTACCATATTTGGTCACCTTCCGGAATGCCTCTGTCACTTAAACATAGCACTCCAGTTCAATGAGAGTGAAAATGTCAAAAAAGATAGAATAATAAATCAGGATAATAGAATCACAACAGTCACCCCAGATATAATTTATAGTGTTTTGGAAAAAGTTGTTCCACCCCCAGTCAGAGTCTGGAGAAGAAAGAAGACTCGAAAGTTGGTAAGTTAGTTTTTCGTGCTCTGTAGATATGAAGTGATTTTTACATAGTTCAGAATAGGATAATAACAGAGCCTAAAGAGCTAGAAATGTAAATGTAGACGATTCAGGAAGAAGGGAATTCCTTTCAGCTCACTGGGTTCCCTTCCATCCGAATCGTGTCACCCTAATACCCGGGTACAGCTAGTGAAATGCTTCTAGAACAGCAGAAGAGATGGGTACGGAACGTTAAAGTTTTCGCTAACTTTTCTGCGAGTCATGGCCTTCTACACGCTTATATTCGATGACTACACTGTTCCTTCGAACTAATTCCATCAGAAGGAGCATCAGAGATGATTGAAACAGGTTCTCGTATTGGGCGGTGAATTACGCGACGGTTCCTACTATCAACTCGTATGGAATTACCAGTCAGTTAAAATCACCCTTGTCTGACACTAACAAACTTTTGCAGCCTTTCAATCAGATTTCTTCCTTAATTTCTATTTCCTCCATTGAACCCTAGAACCACATTTTTATGTACATAAAAGTTTGTCAGAATGGAAAAAATAGGAAAAAAAATTAACAAAATGCGTTGGGTTCGAAAGAAATATTAAAAATGGGTAGGCTTTCGAAATCTACAGTAAAATCTTCAATAAATATGTAGAGAAATGCATTTTTCGAAATGTTTGTAAATTGTATGAAGTGTTCCATTTGCAATAGATAAGTAGGTGTAAGAAATGTTATAAACTCACAAACTCACTCACAACTCACAAACATTTATTTGTTTCTGTGATTATAGTTCTTAGAAAATCCCACCCGTCTGCATCAAATGAAAAATAAGTGGATGAAAGAAATGAATGGAAACTGTAATAGAAATAAAAAGTGGAGAAATAAGAGCAGGCAAAGATTTTTGCGGAAAAGTGGGTCTTCAGTCACAAACTGTTGATTGGCTCCGTTCCTGGAATAGCTGCAACTACGTAGGCTGCCTTTTATATTTCGGGATTTGAAAACACTAGTGTAGCAATCTAGCAACTGACACCACTATCATAAAATTAGACTATTTTGAGGTTGCTTTGCAAAATTTGAGCGCGATCGGAGTTGTTTACCCTAAGTTATAAGATTTTGTTTAGGCCAAGTTATGGGGTTGAATCGTGAGCATTTTCGCGCGATCATTTTCCACAACTTTCGACATGGACTAACTCAACAGCAATGCATGGATGAACTTAGATCAATTTTTGGTGATGAAGCTCCATCCAGGGCCAGTGTT